CGGGTGGCCTGGCTTACCTGCCACTTTTTTGTTATCGGTAATTTTCCCTCTCCCCTCTTTGTCATTGTGGATACCAAGATCTAAGACACTTTTTAAAAATATTTATTCTGGCGCTGGAGAGATGGCTCAGCAGTTAAAAACACTGAATGTTCTTGCAGAAGAACTTGGGAGGCAGAGGCAGGCTAAGCTCTGTGAGTTCAAGGCCAGTCTGGTCTACATAGTAAGTTCCAGGACAGCTGGGGCTACAGGGAGACCCTGTCTCAAAAAGACAAAAAAAAAAATTTATTTATGAGGCTGGAGAGATGGCTCAGTGGTTAAGAACACAGAATGTTCTTGCAGAAGATCCGGGTTCGAATCCCAGCATCCACATGGAAGCTAACAATTGTCCGTAACTCCAGTTCCAGGAGTTTTTAAATATTTTATTTATTTATTTATTTTAATGTGTATGTGTGTATTGCCTGCATGTATGTGAGTGCACCCGTGTCATGCAATGCCACAGAGGTCAGAAGAGGACATCTGATTCCCCTGGAACTGGAGTTAAGGATGGTTCATAGACCTCATGTATGTGCTAGGAATGGAACCCGGGTCCTCTGCTAGAGCAGTCAGTGCTCTCAACTGCTGAGCCATCTCTCCAACACCAAATATGTATTTCCTTTTAAGTGTGAGTGCACACTCGTGCATGTGAGTGTGGTACCTTCAGAGAAGTCAGAGGCCAGAGGCATTGAACCTCCCTGGAGCAGGAGTTGTTAACAAGTGGTTATGAGCCTCTTGGCCATCCTTATCAGATCAGCTGTGCCTACCTGCAAGGGACCATCCTGATCAGGCCTCAGAGAAGAGGGTGGGAAGGATCACGGGAGGCTTACCTGAGGTTCCAGCAGCTCCTTCCACATATTCCTATGTGACACTGCCCTAGTTGTATATGGCATCTGGGTCTAGAGTATGTAGGCTAGGAAAGTTAACTGGGAGGGGGAGGTCCAACTATACATCTATGGGGAAGTCATCCACGCTAGGTGAAGACTTTCCACTGTGGCAGCTTTAGGGTCACCCATGCTCTGGTAGGCAACCTTCACCCATACTCTGTAAAGAAGCCCACTAACCTCATTGGCTCCCCAGGTTGAATAGTACTTTGGGGGACATTATAAGGAAGGAACAGTGTTGCTTATATCTCCCCAGAGAAAAAGTTCTTGACACAACCCCCAAGTGAAAGAATAAATATAAATAAAAATAGTGCCGAGTGTGACGGCGCATACCTTTAATCCCAGCACTTGGGAGGCAGAGGCAGGGGGATCTTTGTGAGTTGGAGGCCAGCCTGGTCTACATAGTGAGTACCAGGACAGCTGGGGCTACAAGGAGACCCTGTCTCAAAAAGACAGGAAAAAAAATGGGGTCAGGGAGGTGGCTCAGCAGGTAATAGACACCACCGAACCTGCAAACCTGAGTTCAAGCCCCAGGAGACACATTGTGGAAGGAGAGAACAGACTCCCTCTTTTGACCCCCACACTAACACTGTATAGTAAGTGCACCCCCTTCCCATCACACAAAGAATAAAAATAAAAGACATTTATGAAAAACAAAACTCTACTTTGGTAGCTTTTTAAAAAAATATTAATTTATTTTTTGGTTTTTTTGAGACAGGGTCTCCCTGTAGCCCCAGCTGTCCTGGAACTCACTATGTAGACCAGGCTGGCCTTGAACTCACAGAGATCCTCGTGCCTCTGCCTCCCAAGTGCTGGGACTACAGGCGTGCACCACTATGCCCGGCTAAATATTTTATTTTTATGTGTATGTGTATATTTCCTGCATGTAGGTAAGTGCACCTGTGTCCTGCAATGCCTGCAAAGGACAGAAGAGGCTGTTGGATCCCCTGGGACTGGAGTTACGGACAGTTGTTAGCTGCCATGTGGGTGCTGGCATTCGAACCCGGGTCTTCTGCAAGAACAGCCATTGTTCTTAACTGTTGAGCCATCTCTCCAGCCCCAGAAGTTATTTTCAATACATATTACAGGCAATGGGGTTACATTCAGAATGATGTACTATAAACGAGACAGACACCTGGAAGGAAACAAGACACATAGACAACATTTTGGTTTTGTTTTTTAATGAGCAAAAATTTTTGTTTCTTGCATTTGAAATACTTTGATGACAGCCTTGGCCTGAGGTTTTTGGCAGTATACTTCACCACTACACAACTGCAGTCAACCACTTTATGGGTTTCTCCTCTGGGTGTTTTGCAGAGGCCTGCTGGTTTCCCTAGTTTCTTATGGTCATCAATTTTTCAGTGCTCAGCACAAAGGGCTTCCACCAACTTGATACACACGTGCGCCTCACAACTGGATGCACCAGAGAGATGTGCTTGGCGCTGGTCTAAGTCTTCAGCTTTGAGAATTCCACATGCCAGGCCATCTTGGATAGGGGTGATCTTGAGCACGGATTGTAAAGCAGTGTTAACATCCATCACACTTCAGCAGCACTGTCGTCCTTGGCCATGGCGGTGCATTAGGGATGAAGCCCAATCTTGGACACACTACTAAAAGATCCCACGTTTGAGATAAAAGTCATTGAACAGTCTCCAAGTTTGCCTCAGTCCTCGTGCGATTTGTGGGGTTTTTCTTTCTTTTTTGAGAAACAGTCTGAAGAAGCACTGGCCTTCAACTTGCTATGTATGCAAGGATGAGCAACTGGCCTTTCTCCACTTCCCAACTGGAGTGAACACCTTCACAGGTGGCTTGGAAAAGCATTTCACAAAGAAAGTACATCCAAATAGCTGATAAATACATGTTGGTGCAATCTCATTAAATAATCAGGAATATAAAAATCAGGAATAAGAACTAATGTTTCTGCTGAGCATGGTGGCACATGCCTTTAATTCCAGCACTCAGGAGACAGGTGGATCCCTGTGAATTCAAGGCCAGCTTGATCTATGTAGTAAGACCCTGTCTCAAGAAAAAAGAAAGCATAGCCGGGCATGGTGGTGCAGGCCTTTAATCTCAGCACTGGGGAGGCAGAGGCAGGTGGATCTCTGTGAGCTCCAGGCCAGCTGGGACTACAGGGCAAACCGGTCTCAAAAAGACCAAAAAGAGGGGCTGGAGAGCTGGCTCAGACCTTAAGAGCACTGACTGCTTCTGCAGAGGATGAGGGCTCGAGTTCCCAGCAACCCACAAGGTGGCTACGAACCATCCTTAACTCCAGTTCCAGGGGAATCCAAGTCCTCTTCTGACCTCCAAGGCATTGCATGACACGGGTGCACTCACATACATGCAAACAATACACTCATACGCATAAAATAAAAATAATAAAATATTTTTTAAAAAGACCAAAACTTAATCAATCAAATAAAAAATAACAAATCTAAACATTTTCTTAAGGAGGAATAAAGTCTGAAATGTTGGCAAGTTTATGGAATATAAGATGAGATCTTTCCTGCATTGATGGTAACATGAAAGTTGGTACACAACTAAAAAAAAAATTGTCGGGGCTGGAGAGCTGGCTCAGAAGTTAAGAACACTGGCTGGTCTTGCAGAAGACCTGGGTTCAAATCGCAGCACCCACATGGCAGCTAACAACTGTCCAGGGGATCGACGGCTTCTTCTGTTCTCCGTGGGCATTGTACAACATGGGTGCACTTACCTACATGCATGCAATACACGCATACACATTAAATAATATGTTTAAAATTTTTTATTTGTGGGACTGGGTGTGGTGGTGCATGCCTTTAATCCCAGCACTCAGGAGGCAGAGGCAGGCGGATCTCTGTGAGTTCAAGGCCAGCCTGGTCTACATAGTGAGTTCCAGGACAGCTGAGGCTACAGAGAGAAACTGTTTCAAAAAAACCAAAAAAAAAAAAAATTATTTGTATGAGTATTTTACCTGCATGTATATGTGCACTTATGTGCAGGCAATGCCTGTGGGGCCAGAAGAGGGCATCAGATCCTATGAAACTGGAGTTGCAGACAGTTGTTAGCCACCATGTGGGTGCTGGGAATGGAACCAGGACCCTCTGCAAGAGCAGCCACTGTGCTTAACCTCTGAACCATCTCTCCAATCCCCAAAGTTCGTAATTTTAAGACATCTGTGTTAATTACCAAGTTGAGCCATACCAATCCTTGTGTCTTGCACAATGAAAACTATGTGAGAGCACCACCATATTCACTGTAGTATGTGATGTCAAAATATTGGAAACAATCTCAAAGTGTCACCAGAAGCAGAGGGAGGCAGATCTTTTTGACTACGGCTACACAGTAAGGCAATTTCCACCACCACCCCTACCTTCTCTCCTAGTTTTTTCTTCCCAGAATAAATCACTTTAATATTCATATAATGAAATAGTCTAAACTAGGTGTGGTGGCGCTCGCCTTTAATCCTAGCACTCAGGAGGTGGAGGCAGGAGGATGTGAGTTCAAGCCTAGGTTGGTCTCCATTGATGCGTTTTAGACTAGCCAGTGTTTAGAAATTGAAGCCACCTCAAAACAATAAGCAAAACAAATATTCTGCAGCAAGACTAGTAAAACATTTCCATGACGTCATCCACCCTGATGACAGATTAGCTAGGACCTAGGCAGATCCCCTGGATTATCATTAGGGCTGATCTGGAGGGCAAGAGTATGTGCATCCGCAGGATTAAAGGGAGCGTCGACTTTCCTGGTCCAGTTTCATTTTTCTCTGGGGAATTATTAGCTAGCAGAGAGGCATTTGCTTGAGAAGAGACATGAGCAGGTGTGGAAAGATCCCTTGACCCTAGAGCAGGAACCATGATGCTCAGCGGGGGTGAAACGAAGATTGAGGCCCCGACCCGCAGCTTCCGGTGCCGCCCAGCTCCCGCCCGCCGTTCACCAGCGCGAAGCAGGAGTGGCGCAGGCGGAGGAAGAGGCGGGGCAAGGGCCCTCCCGAGCCTAACTTTTGGGGTAGCCAATGGGAAAGGATGTGCTTGTGAACCAATAGGGAGCAGGGGACGAAGCCCGCCCACAAGGCCATCTGGCCAATCGGCCCGTAGCGGCGCGGTGGGTGGGGCTTCGGGCGGGAGTTGCTGGCATGGCCGGCGGGGCCCGCGAGGTGCTCACGCTGCAGTTGGGACATTTTGCGGGTTTCGTGGGAGCGCACTGGTGGAACCAGCAGGTGTGGTCTCCTAGTTGATCGCAGGTGGAAGCCTGCGGAGTGTAGGTGCACGTCCCGTCTGACTCTTTGGCCACCTCTGCTTAGTCCTTTGTGCCCCTACAGGATGCTGCGCTGGGCCGAGCAACTGATGGCAAGGAGTCGCCGAGAGAGCTGTGCCCAGACGTCCTATACCGGACGGGCCGGACGCTGCACGGCCAGGAAACGTACACGCCGCGACTCATCCTCATGGATCTCAAGGGTGAGGCGGTGTCAGGGCAGGGCCAAGCTTTCTCCTTTGGCATGCGGCGTCTCTAGCCTTCATTTATGTCAGGTCCCTCATACTAGACTGAAGAAGAGATGAAGCTTAGGAGCTAAGCCCCCGAGGGACATAGGGAGGTCAAACTACTCTCAAGAGCTGCCCTTGAGACAGTGCTGTGTCAAGTTGCTGCACTCATGGACCACAGGTCCCCGTCAGAGACAGAAGGATGGAACCCTTGCCCATCCCTAGTAATGCATATCCAAGAACGCTTGAAAAAGCCAAGAGGAACTGTCGCAACAGGTCACCTCACAGGTGATCAGATTAGTCCGAGGGAGATGATATGCCCTAGGCTTTGACCTTGCCTATCATTTCTGTGCAGGCAGTCTGAACTCTCTAAAAGAGGAAGGCGGCCTCTACAAGGACAAAGAGCTAGAGGCTGCAATAGCATGGTCTGTATCTGATGTATGAGGAGGGGTGGGGAAGGTATATGTGCACAGAAAGCTTGAGAGAGCATAGGGCCGATTTCTTTGCTCAGTCTCCACTCTCTTTCAGGCAGGGGAAGCTCACCACACACAAAGAGGAAGCCTACCCCAAGAACCCTAACCTCCAGGACCTTCTAAGTGCAGAGGTGAGGGGTTCTGCCGCCAACCTCCGGAGCCTGTGCTATAGTCAGAGTGGCCCCACTGAGTAGAGAAAAGGAAGGGTTTAGTTAGCTTAAATGCTGTAGACCGGTGTTTTCAGAAAATCACCTCTAAACTTCCTGGAACCTAGAGCTAGCAATGGCCCAGAGGTTAAGAGCACCTACCGCTCTTGCAGAGGATCTGGGTTCTGTTCCCAGCACCCACATGGATGTTTACAACCATCTGTAACTCCATTTCTAGGAATCTGACACCTCTTCTGGCTACCTACATGCACATGATGAAATTATACTCACAGCAGCAGACACACACATAAATAAACTCAATGGGGGGCAGATTGTGGGGACGAGTGGCTGTTTGGACCTAAATGTAGATTTTTTTTTTCACCCCTCTTAGGGAGTACTGAGTAGTGATGGTGTCTGGAGGGCCAAATCTATCCAAAATGGCAAAGGTGAGACTTCTCTGGGTGCTGGAGACCTGGACAGAATAGGAACATGGGGAATGGTACAACTCATCTGTTCTTTCTTCAGGTCCCCCATCAGTCATCCATGCTACAAATCCAAAACCACTTATCCCCACAGAGGATAGCATCAGAGTTTGGTCAGACTTCCTCAGAGTCCATCTCCATCCCCGGAGCATCTGTGTGATTCAGAAGTACAACCATGATGGGTATGGGGGCTCCAGAGGCTATGAGACAGTTTTTATACCTATCAACCCACTGGATTAAGGCTGGAACCCATCTTACCTGCCCTCCCTCAAAACAACAAACTGAGTAGTTGGGGGCAGGGCCAAGTTTTTTCTCATAGTGATTTATGGCAGGGAAACAGGTCGGCTAGAGGCTTTTGGCCAAGGGGAGAGCATCCTGAAGGAACCCAGGTACCTGGAAGAGCTGGAGGACAGACTGCATTTCTATGTGGAGGAATGTGACTACTTGCAGGTACTTGTGGCAAGGTGGACACCAGGGAAGAAACTGCTTATCCCACTTTCTATTGTCTTGTCCTTCATCTCTCTCCAGGGCTTCCAGATCCTGTGTGACCTGCATGATGGTTTTTCTGGGGTAGGCGCCAAAACTGCAGAGTTACTACAAGATGAGTATTCAGGGAGGGGAGTAATAACTTGGGGCCTGCTCCCTGGGCCCTACAGTCTTGGGGTAAGTGGAACCTAGAAGAAAAAGAAGTCAGAGAAGAAAGGAGAGAATCCCATTGAGGAAGTCACTTAGAGCAAACTATTCTCTTTTTTACCAGGAGCCTCAGAAAAACATCTATCGTCTGTTAAACACAGCATTTGGACTGGTGCACTTGACTGCTTACAGCTCTTTCACCTGTCCCTTATCCTTGGGAGGGAACCTGGGCCTGCGACCAAAGCCACCTGTTAGCTTCCCTTATCTACAATATGATGTAAGTTTCAAAGCTCCTGACTGCAGCTGGCCACAGGGTCACTCATCACACTCCTGTGGCTGTCATGCTGGGGATCGAACCTAGTACCCAACACATGCTAGGCAAGCACCCCAACACTGAGTTGGGTTCCCAACCCAATGTTCACAAAGTCTTACCTTGAACTCAGCTACTTGGCCTCTTAGATCACAGTACCTTCTGCTTGCCCAGCCTCAGGACAAATACAGCCTTGCTTCATCACCTGAACCCATGGCATTACTATTCTGCCTCCACATGTTTTTCCATACCCAAAGACAAAGTGTTCCTCTCATGTCCACTTTACAGGCCACTCTGCCCTTCCACTGTAGCGCCATCCTGGCTACAGCCCTGGACACTGTCACTGCTCCGTATCGCCTACATTCCTCTCCAGTTTCCATGGCTCATTTGGCTGATTTGCTGAGTTTCTCTGGGAGAAAGGTAGGAAGCATTCTAAGAGGTTGGGTCAGCTCTGAGAAAAGGCTCCATAACTTGATTCCTCCTGATCTTTAGGTGGTGACAGCAGAAGCCATCATCCCCTTCCCATTGGTTCCAGGCCAGTCCCTCCCTGACATCCTGATGCAAGTTGGAGGTGCCACCCCATGGACCCCATTGTCTGCATGCGGGGATCCTACTGGAACACTCTGCTTTGCCCAGTCAGTGGTGCTGAGGGGTATAGACAGTGCATGCCACACCAGGTAAGGACTCTTACTGTCAGGGGCCCTTGTCAGATTTTTGTTTCATATCTTTTCTCCCTATGTCTTGGCATTCTAATGGTATACTTTCCTCCCATCAACATCCCCTCACTTAAAAAAAAAAAAAGGCTCTGAACTGATTCAGTTGATGGTCCAAGAACCTAAGAATTCTTAGCTCTTGGGTTTATTCTGGCAGTAAGCTCACCCCAGGGACACCTTTGCCTTCTGCTCTCCATGCATGTGCCTCTGGGGAAGAAGTCTTGGCCCAGTATTTACAACAGCAGCGACCTAGTGTCTTGAGGTCAGTACAAGTGCCCTTACCCATCTCCCAGGCCTCCCCTCTTGGCTTTCTTCTCACTTAACTACTACTCTCTGCCTGCAGCTCATCCCATCTGCTGCTGACTCCCTGTAGAGTGGCTCCTCCTTACCCACACCTCTTCTCAAGCTTCAGTCAGAAGGGGGTGGCTCTGGACAGTCCCCCCAAAGGCACAGGTAGGTGGGACATAAAGAAAACTAACATTTCAGCTACATTGGAGCAGTTTCATTTTCTCTTCCTAGACTAAAAGGACAAAGAAAGAGGGAAAAAGTTCACAGTTGCACATTCCTTTATTTACCTGCAGCTCCAGAGAAGTGCCCTGCCTCTGGAGTATTGTATCTCAAAGGGGCAGCACACACACTGCAAGAGTGTACTTTTCTGTCAGGCGTGCCAAGCATCCAGATAACCCCCAGAGCAGAACCCATCCATTCAGCCTCCCTTTCCTCTCCCTCTGTAGCAGTGCAGAGCATCCCAGTGTTTGGGGCCCTGCGTTCATCTTCATCCTTGCATCAGACCTTGGGAGGCTTAGCTGAGGAGCTCACCAGACTTGACCTGCGGCGCTGGGCCAGCTTCATGGATACAGGCATGGAGCAGGACGACATGGAAGAGCTGCTACAAGAGCTGCACAGCCTGGCCTGCTGTTACCAGGAGGGCGACAGCCTCTCAAACTGAAGCTCGAGTCAGGGAGGAGGACTAGTTTACAATAAAAGCTGCTGGGTGGAGGAGCCCAGTGCCTATAGGCAGCAAAGTTCAGTGTCTTGGGACTGGCTACATGACATAGACATTTGTACATTTAAAAACACTGGGAGTAGACCATAGAACAATAAATAAGTACCATCGGACAGAAAGAAAAATGGAGAGAAAAGAGCCAAACCCCATTCTTCCCCTGCTATTTACAAAGTGGGTTAGTATGGTCTTTGTCCCTAGCTCTGCTCTCAGCTCTGCTCTCCAGCTCTGCAGGTGATGCTCAGAGTCTCCAATAAATGAAGTCTAACCACCCTATCCTCTAGTACAGGGTGGCTCTTGTTGGTCCTGGCAGGTGACACCCACATGTTCCCAGGGTCTCACTCATCCAGCTCCTCTTCAGACAGCAGGTCTCCATGGTCGGATAGCTGGTCTGCATTGCTGGTACTGGTTGCATCATCCTCATCTTCAGAGCTGGCCTCACAGGCTGTGTGGAAGAGCTGCATGAGCTCTCGGAAACGGTGGGAAACCTAGCAAAGAAAGAAGGGCTGTACTCAGTGTCCCAAGTCATGTTTATGAAGCACTGGGTTCCCTTTGAAAAATCTTTTATTCTATAATTCAATACAGTAACACTGTCAGGGTCACTATCTCCTTATAGATAAGGAGATATAACTTAAACTTCAAAAAAATTTTTATTATTTTATGTGTGTATCGTGTGCATGTAGGTAAGTACACCCATGTCTTGCAATGCCCACTTGCCCACGGAAGACAGTAGAGACTGTCAGATCCCCTGGAACTGGAGTTACGGACAGTTGTTAGCTGCAATGTGGGTACTGGGATTTGAACCCGGGTCTTCTGCAAGAAGAGTCAGTGTTCTTAACCACTGAGCCATCTCTCCAGCCCAAGTTAAGCTTCTTATATATGTGATACTCTCGGTCCTCTGTCCTATCACCTTTGTTCCCCAGGGACTAAAGGCTCTGGCAGAGCATCCTCACCTTCACACACCCTTTCCCACCTCACCTCTATGGGGGTCTTATTTCCCAGTTGTTGAGAGATGATGCTGAAGGTCTGAGGCTGAGCTCCTTGCTCCTGGCACATGGTGAGAATCACTCGGTCAGCTTCCCTGAAATACATGCAGTACGGTTAACTCTATGGAGCTGTTTGGATCTGTTCTTTTCTCTTTGCAAACATCTCCCACCCTTACCTACCTTGTCCACAGCACAACCTTCTCCCCAGTGGAGCTGACCTTGCTGTTGTTGGCACATACAGTAGCTTCTGTGGCTTTTGGCTGCTGTTCCCCCTCTGAGCCCTTGCTTTGTAGTCTACTGTCTTTAGCTAAGTCCCCTTTGGCAGCTATGGGAGCAGGCTCTGAGGCACCAATGTTTGATGAAATTTCACAGACGGGGGACACTGTGTTTGCTCTCTCTGCCTCAGCTCTGCCCGAGGGCAGCCAGCTCCTCTGGAGGTCTGGTTTCCCAGACAACTGTCTTCTCCCAATATCTCTGGTTCTTGAGGAAACAGGACTCGGAGAGGAAGCAGGAAGCCCCACAGTCCCTGGCAGTTTCTCAGTTACTGATGTGCCTGGGAGTGGCACAGAAGTGTTTGAGTCACCCACAGCCTTTTGGCCCTCTCCCTCTTTTGGAAAGATGGGGAATGCACTGTGGTAGGAGAGAACCTCAGGCCCAGCCTTGTTTCTAACAGTGGAGAGTACAGCTCCAGTCTGAAGAGGAAGCTGAGGAATCTCTGGTGAGCCAAGTAGTATGCCCTCCGAGGGCTGTTCCATAGGAGTCACTTCCGGAGAGGACTGCAAAGTATTCCCAAAAGCTGATCCTACTGAGAAGGAACGGGGGGTCAGGGTATGGACCAAAAACCACGAATAGAACCTTTCGTTCCATTAGAAGGAGCGGTAGAGGTGAGGGGATGGGAACTCCCACGCCTAGTTCCGGGACAGGTCATTAGGACACAAGCTGAGAGGGCCTGAGACAAAGCGAAGGGAGCATAGGAAAGGAGTGCGGGACCCTGGACTTAGTAGCAGTTTTAACCCTGGAGAGGTGAATGGGAAAAGGGATTTCCCAGGTCTGTGGTGAGAGAAATGCCATGCGCAGCAGCCAGGCTCAAGCCACAGTGTGGGAGAATGAGGTGGACAGGGAAGGGAAAGGCAGGGCCTGGTAGTCGGCTCACTCACCTAAAGTGGGTATCTCCCCTTTCCTGGTGGTCCTGCCAGTCCTATTCTGTGTTGGCTCAATATTCTCCCGCTCATCCAGGACTTCCTCTTCCACCGTGTCTTTGCCTTGTCCTGCTTCCTTAGTGCCAGGCATAGGACTGGTGTCTTGGTGGGGGCTGCTGCCCACCAACTCATGGGGCTCCTTGCTCTTGTAGGATTTGCTGTCACAGGCCTGCAAGGATGACTTTCTGGGTTAATGATGGCTTGACTCCAGCCTGGTCTATATAGTGAGTTCAGGCTAGCTGGGGCTACAGGGAGACCCTATCTTAAAAAAAAAAAAAAAGAAGATGGCCTGATTGTACTATGTCTCAGGGCACCTCCAACAGAAAAAGGTCTGTGTTGCTACTCAGCAAGTCAGCCACATGCTTGCAGGCTCCTAGGACTCCAAATGGCCTGGAGAAGTAGGTTCCATCACTCCTAACAGAACCACATCTGTTCTGTGAAACAACTCCACCTAGAGATCCAGGATTATCTTTAGAGTCTGTTTCCCCTGATACGAGGTTTTTTTTTTTGTTTTTTTTTTTTTTTTGACAACAACAAAAATTTAAGCCAATTTTGCACACCTGTGATGCTGGTGCTCAGAAGGGTTAAGGCAGGAAGAACATGAGACCAGCATAGACTACGCAGAGACTCGAGACAGCAGCAAATCTCAAAACTAAAAGGAAAATACTTGAACTGTATTTTATTATCCATTTCCAAAAGTGTTTTCAAAAGACTCTATTTATTATGTAGCCCAGGTTGGCCTGGAACTTGCTATGTTAGGGTCTCATTTCCCAGTTGCCTGCCTCTGCTTCCCAAGTGCTAGGATTACAGCTGGCATTATCACCATGCTCCAATCAGAAAGTAACATCTACTCTTTCAGGTCCCGGCTCCAGGATAACCAAAAAAAGAAGAAACAACGATTATGCCAAAAAGGGCTGTGGCCACGTGCAGCCCATTTGCTGCACGAACTGTGCCTGGTGTGTGGTGGCGCAAACCTTTAATCCCACCACTTGGGAGGCAGAGGCAGGTGGAATCTGTGAGTTGGAGACCAGACTGGTCTACATAGTGGGTTCCAGGCCAGCTGGAGCTACAGGGAGACCCTGTCTCAAAAAGACAAAAAAAAGAAAAAAAGTTATTAGGAACACAGTGAGGCAGCTGCCATCAGAGACATTTCTGAAGCAAGTGTCTTTGATGATTATGTGCTTCCCAAGCTGTCAAGCTGAGCTGTGCCACTGATAGCACAGTGGTCAGGAATCAATGTTGTGAAGCACTGAAAGATTGAACACCCCCACCATGATTTAGACCTGCTGGTGCTGCCCCATGAACTCCACCAAAGCCCACGTAAAGAGCTGGCGTCATAAGGACAGAAGAAAAACCGTCATCTGGGAAAATAAAATGGAAATTTTACTTAAAAAACAATAAAAAGTAAAATCTAGCTGGGTGTGGTGGCACATGCCTACAATCTCAGCACTTAGTAGATAGAGGCAGGAATCTGAGCTATTCCTTAGCTATACGGTGAGTTTAAGGCCTTTCAGGGCTACCTGTTTAAGCCTATCTCAAACATCTAAAAGCAACTACCACCATCCCTGAAAAAAAAAAAGCAAAGTCTAGGGCGGGGGATGTAGTACAATTGGTAGAGTGTATATCTTATCTGGCAGCACACCACATAACACTGAGTGTGGTGAAGCATGCCTGGAATCAGCATTCTGAAGGCAGAGGCAAGATGATGATGTGGTTAGCCTAGGTTACATAGCAAGCCATTGTCTTAAGAAACAAAATTCAGCAACAAAAAAACAAAAGCCAGCTTATATGTCTTTTTTGTTTCATTATTTTATTTTCTTAAAGATAGGGTGCCAGGTATCCCCTACTGGCCTTAAACTTGGTATGTAATTAAGGATAACCTTGAACTTCTGATCTTCCTGCCTCCTACAGGCCAGGCATGTGTTTCCATTTTAGATTTCTACAGGAGTCTATTTATTTTGCATATGCCCACATGTATTTGCTATGTATTATTTATGCACAATTTTATCATTTTATAAATTCAAGAAAGTACCAATCTATGGCAGCAAGTCATGATTAGCATAGTACGGCGTGGTTTGCCCGGTAGCGGGCCCTACCCCAGGTCCTTCCTTACCTTGCTGCTACAGTGACAGTTTCTCTTCTTGGTCTTCTTCAGCTTAGAATCAGGACCTCCCTCATGGCAGGAACACGAGCAGTCCTTGGCTCCTTCAGGCCATTCAGTCTCCTACAAGATACCCCAGCTTGATCAGCTGCCAAGCATTTTCAGCCCTGAGAAAGGGCTGAGCTGTGAGGCATCTGATACACTGAGGGAAGAGCCTACCCAATTTAGACTTGAGCCTATTATGAATCCCTAAAAGAATCCTTAAATGACCCAAAAAAAGAAGTAGCCAAATAACCTAGAAACCCAAGACATATTTAAGTCTAACAGATTTTTGAGGTAAAGGCTTTGGGGATCACTGGCTCATGTTCTGTCTCCTTATGCTAGAGTTCCCCTCTTCAAAAAACATTGAAAAAAATGGCTTTGTATAGTGATACTCTTTAATAAAGCCAAGACATAAGAACATTATCCCAATGTATAGAAGAAACTGAAACAAGTAAAATAAGTTGCTGAAGATCATTCAGTTTCTAAGAAGTTTCACCCCCTAGGGACTGGAGAGATGGCTCAGCAGTTAAGAGCACTGTAAGAACCCAGGTTCAAATCCCAGTACTCACACGGTGGCTAACAACCATCCATTAACTCCAGTTCCAAGGGATTTGATGCCCTCTTTCTGACTAGCAGGCACAACACGGATGCACTTAAGACACATGCAGGCAATATACACATAAAAATAATAATTAAAATATTTAAAAAAAGTTTCTGGGGCTGGAGAGATGGCTCAGTGGTTAAGAACACTGACTGTTCTTGCAGAAGACCCAGGTTTGAGTCCCAGCACCCACATGGCGGCTAACAACCGTTCATAACTCCAGTTCCAGGGGATCCAACAGCCTCTTCTGACCTCCGTGGACATTGCAGGACACAGGTGCATTTACCTACATACAGGCAATACACGCATACACATAAAATAAAAATAATAAAAAAAGAAGTTTCTCCCTCTAAGGAAATAATAAAGAAATATGGATTTTAAAAGACTATCTGGGGGGCTGGAGAGATGGCTCAGCAGTTAAGAGCCTGACTGCTCTTGTAGAGGACTCGGATTCTATTCCCAGCACCCACATGGCAGCTACGAACCATCCTTAACCCCAGTTCCAGGGGAATCCGAAGCCCTCTTCTGACCTCCACAGCATTGCACGACACGGGTGCACTCACATACATGCAGGCAATACACTCATACACATAGAATTAAAAAATAATAATAAAATATTTAAAAAAAATAAAAGACTATCTGGGGCCAGTAAGATGGCTCAGTGGGCAAGGATGCCTGCTTAGTGCCAGACCTAGCAACTCAAATTCAATCTCTAAGACCCCACAAAGAAAGAGGGAACCCACTCCTACAAGTTATCCTCTGACCTCCACACACATGTTACAGAACATTCCTGCCTACAACACACTCAAAATAAATGTAATTTTAAAATTAAATAAAATACAAAAAAAAGACTACTTCTGAGGCTGGAGAGACAGTTCAGCAGTTTAAGAGCAAGTACTGCTTTTTCAGAAGACTTAAGTTCAGTTTCCAGAACCCATGTCACGCAGCTCACCTGTACCCAAAGCTCCAAGGAATTGATAATCTCCTCCGGCCTCAGCAGCCACCTGTACTCATACACATATCCCACAGACAGACACATCATACACATAATTTTTTTTTTTTTTTTTTTTTGGTCTTTTTTGAGACAGGGTCTCCCTGTAGCCCCAGCTGGCCTGAAACTCACTATATAGACCAGGCTGGCCTCAAACTCATAGAGATCCATCTGCCTCTTCTGGGAGTAAAGATGTGTACCACCGTACCTGGCTCATACATAGAATTTTTAAAAATCTCTTAAAAAGAGT